TGGTGATTAGCCCAAAGTCACCCAGCCGGCTTTCATGCCTAAAGCGGGATTAGAACTCCCTGTCGCCTGGTGATTGGCCCAAGTGTCTTAACCAGTTTTCACGCTAGGGCCAGATTAGAATTCCCAGTCTCCTGGTGACTAGCGCAAAGTCTCCTAGCCAGCTTTCATGCCTAAAGCAGGACTAGAATTCCCACCTTCCTGGTGATCAGCCCAAAGTTTATATATCTTGAACTGTCTCCGTGAGAAAATAACACGGGGGGGGAAATAACCTCAGGGCCAGTTTGAACCCACAACCCTGCTTTAAAAGCGCTCTTGAGAATAATCTGAATGGGTGCGCGGCAGTATCTGAGACTCAGTGGTGGGATTACAGTAGTGAGAGATACACCAAAATCAACTCTGCAGGAAAAATATTTCCCCGAGCGACCAGAGTCCAATCCAATCAATACACTAAGGTCAATGTATAGACCAGTCTAGCCTACACTGATGCCCTCCAGATGTGTCGGTCTTCCATTTGTGCTGGCTGGGGATGAAGGGCACTGATCCAACACAACTAGAGGATGAGAGGTGAGGAAAGGTTAGACAAACACCCTCCCTGCTGAAGCGGCTAGGAGGGGCCGGGTTCTTACATTCAAGCGAAGACCATGGCGGGTTTTTAGCGCTGAGGTGTCTCCCTGGCTAATGGGCAAAGGATGCAGGGCGGACACTGGAGCTAAGGAGCAGGACGCCTTTAAGGCAAGGTGGACCCCATCGTGGCTTGTATGAAGACTGTTCCTTGGCCGGGTCTTGCCAGATGAAGGGGCCTCTGCTTGGAGAACCTCAAGGGGCCACACAAAGGACCACACACTCTCAAAGCCACACTCAGCGCATGAGCCCAATTCAAACAGGACAGGCAAATGTTTGAACCCATCAGATGACCCAAGATTGACCATCCATCCATCCATCCATCTATCCATCCATCATCTATCTATCCATCCATCTATCCATCCATCCATCCATCATCCACCATCTTCATCTATCCATCCATCCATCCATCTATCATCTATATCCATCCATCTATCCATCTATCCACCCATCCATCCTCCATCATCTATCATTCCATCTATCCATCCATCCAGCTATAATCTATCTATCCATCTATCCAACCATCATCTATCCATCCAGCTATCCAACCATCTATCATCTATCTATCCATCCAACCATCATCTATTATCTATCATCTTATCTATCCATTCATCATCTATCCATCCATCCATCATCTATCCATCCATCCATCCATCATCTATCCATCCATCCATCCATCCATCTATCCATCCATCATCCATCATCTTCATCTATCCATCCATCCATCTATCCATCCATCATCTATCTATCCATCCATCCATCCATCCATCATCTATATCCATCCATCTATCCACCCATCCATCATCCATCATCCATCATCTATCATTCCATCTATCCATCCATCCAGCTATCATCTAACTATCCATCCATCCATCATCTATTATCTATCATCTTATCTATCCATCCATCAACTATCCATCCACCCATCATCTATACATCCATCCATCTATCATCTATCCATCATCCATCCATCATCTATCTGTACATCCATCCATCTACCATCTATCTATCTATCCATCCATCCATCTCTCTATCATCTATCTATCCATCCATCTAAATTCTCACCTTTATTATTACTTATAACAATGTGGAAAACTCATCCAACACACCTTCTTCCTCCAATATGCCCAACAACAGCCCACAACAACTTCTTCCTCCTGTATGCCCCACGACAGCCCTGGGTTGGGATGAGAGAGAGGAACTGGCCCAAAGTCACCCAGCCGGCTTTTATGTTTAAGGCGGGGCGATAACTCACAGTCTCCTGGTGTTTGATGCAAAAGTCACCCAGTCAGCTTTCATGCCTAAGGCGGGACTAGAACTCACCAGCTCCTGGTGATTGGCCCAAAGTCACCCAGCTGGCTTTCATGCCTAAGGCGGGACTAGAACTCACCAGCTCCTGATGATTGGTGCAAAGTCACCCAGCCGGCTTTCATGCCTAAGGCGGGACTATAAGTCACCATCTCCTGGTGATTGGCCCAGTCACCCAACCGGCTTTCATGCTTAAGGCGGAACTAAAACTCACTGTCTCCCATTTCTAGTCTGGTATCTTAACTCACTAGACCAAACTCATCCTGCCTGGGCTACCTTGTTCTTTTTCTTTAAAGCTACATAGAACATAGAGAAGTATTTGGCTTCCTTCTTCTTTAAAATCCTGTTTTACCTCCCAACGCCTGTATTGTATTGTTCGATTTATTTTGCAGATCCCACTCCCTGCCCAAAACAACATCCATCCATCTGGGCATATTTCTTCCTTTCTTCAAAGACATCAGCTGTTAGGAAAAATTAAAGTATTCTAAATTATGCAGAAGTGCTGGAACGGTGTCGTGGGGAGGGCAAGGGCACGCTTTAGTAACGTTGTGGTTCAATCTTTTTCTGTGATTGCCCTCTGTCTGACGCGATCCAAGCAAGCAACCCTCCATCGGGAAAACAGAGAAACGAGAACGGCCGCCAGATCACGAGGAGGACAGCTCTTCCCCTCGTGGAAATGAGCGGTAAAGAATCCGTGGCAGAAAAAAAGTCAGTGTGATCCAAGAATATAGACACAGCTGGCTTGAAACATACTTCAGAGGTGCAGTCTTACCGCACCCGCCTTGGTCCTAGAACGCTGGCCACGGCTAGAAAGCGGTAGGAACCAGGAACTGTAAGAAGGGATATCTTGGAGTCCTAGTGGACAATCACTTAAATAGGAGCCAGCGGAGTGCTGAAGCTGCCAAAAAACGCCAACGCAATCCTAGGCTGCATGAACAGAGGGATAGAATCAAGATCATGTGAAGTGTTAATACCGCTTTATAAGGCCTTGTTAAGACCACACTTGGGATACTGCGTCCAGTTTTGGTGGCCAGAGAATAGAAGAGAAGAGAAGAGAAGAGAAGAGAAGAGAAGAGAAGAGAAGAGAAGAGAAGAGAAGAGAAGAGAAGAGAAGAGAAGAGAAGAATAGAATAGAATAGAATAGAATAGAATAGAATAGAATAGAATAGAATAGAATAGAATAGAATAGAATAGAATAGAACAGAATAGGGGAAAAGAATAGAACAGGGGAATAGAATAGAATAGAATAGAATAGGGGAATAGAATAGAATAGAATAGAATAGAATAGAATAGAATAGAATAGAATAGAATAGAATAGAATAGGAGGAAAATAATAGAACAGGGGAAAACAATAGAATATTTTGCTCTTTTGGTCACCCCAATATAAAAAAGACGTTGAGACTTTGGAAAAGGTGCAAAGAAGAGCAACTAAGAGGATTAGGGGGAGCTGGAGGCTAAAACATATAACGAACAGCTAAGGCAGAGGCCCCCAAACTTGGCAACTTTGAAGACTTGTGGACTTCAACTCCCAGAATCCCCCAGCCAGCAGAGCTTACTCTCTTGGAAACCCTTCCTCTGCAATCTCTCTCCACTTGAGGAGGTTAAGAGAAAAAAAAGGGGAATTCTGGGAGTTGAAGTCCACAAGTCTTCAAAGTTGCCAAGGTTGAGGACCCCCGAGTAAAGGAAACGAGCGATGATTAGCCTAGCAAAGGGAAGGCTTAGGGGAGACCGGATCGCAGTCTTCCAATACATGAAGGAATGTCACATGGACGAGGGGGGGTCAGTTTATTTATTAAACCAAGAACCGAAGAAGTCGGTTGAAAAGAAACTTTGGGCAACCGCCATCTGGAGGATTTGAGAATATCCATAGTTGTGGATTCTCCAATCGTTGGGAGGTTTTCATGTATAAATTGGACAACCAATTTGCCTGGGATGGTATAGGATGATCCCGCTTGGGAAAGCGGGTTGGACTAGAAGACCTCCAAGGGTCCCTTCCAACTCGGTTATTCTGTTAATTTATTCTGTTAAGCTGAGCGAGGTGTACATCTGGACCAGTGGTGGGATTCAATTTTTTTTTTTTTACTAGCGGTTCTGTGGACATGGCAGCGAAGGGTACTGTAAAACTGTGACGGTGAACCTATGGCCCCGCGGGCCACAGGTGGC